CTTTTGCTTCAAACGAAGGCATTCATCACTTTTTTGCAATTTCACTATCAGCAATTGATTTTCTCTTTCACCAACCATTTCTAATATTATTTATTTACAGACAATCCAAAATAGAATAAATAATGCACAATGAGTGAAGGTGATATATAAATACACACACACACACACACACACACACACATTATATATCTATATTAATAATCCGACTGCTCCATTACCGTAATGAGTTGGTGAAAAGGAACTTTCAACGGATTGGCGGTTGTTCTCGGCATTATAACAGCACAACTGGCAAGATGACACTCGAACACACATAAGGATAAATTCCACACATAATTTTATTCCTTGATAATGCACATCATCATTGTGGGTGTGCTAAGCACCCGCCAATTTTGTACAACTTACATTTCTTAAACAATGGAAGAAAATTGGAAAAGTAAACTCTGTGTGGCTAGTTGCAAGATAAAACAAGCGTCTAGAAGAAGTGAAGAGCGAAGAGACGAAGCTGTGACACAGTTAACCTTTTATACCGAGTCCCATTTCAAATCACGACAGATTAATAACCAGATGTTGGTTTTAGATTTCATCAAGAAGTGTGCAATACAGAATTGCAGGGAGTTTTAGAAAATTATTGCGCTGTTATTTTTAGAATGAAAATGGAAATTAAAGAGCTATTATTAATTTATTATTTGAAAGATAGATATTTTATACGAGGGCTATCCAGAAAGTAGATTACGTTTTGGAATAAAAAAATAAACAAAGTATAGGAAACAAATTTTATTATATACAGATGAAAGCCACACTCAAATACTACTTTTCTACATAGTCACCATACAAATTAAGGCATTTATCGTAGCGATGTACAAGCTTGGAAATTCCTTCGTCGAAAATTCGGCCGCCTGCGCCTTCAACCACTTCGTTACCTTCTTCTGCAGCTTGTGCGTCGTCATCAAACGCTGCATAGCAGCCACTTCTTCATTGCTGGGAATAGGTGGAAGTCGCTCGGTTGCCAGGTCGGGACTGTACGGCGGATGAGGAAACACTCCCACTTAAAAGATTCAAGAACTTACGAGTGACATTTGCCGTGTGGGGCCGGCGTTGTCGAATCAACAAGATCTTAGAGCTCAACATTCCTCTGCGCTTGTTTTGAATTGCTCTTCTGAGTTTTTGGAGAGTTTGGCAAACCTTTGAGAGTTTATTGTAGTGCCTCTTTCCAGGAAGTCCACCAAAATTACCCTTTCTGTCCCAAAAAAAGTCGCCATCATCTTCCTGCCGACATTATTTGCATGCATTTCTTGGGTTTTTGGGGAGAACTTGTGTGCCCCCACTGCATTGATTGCAATTTCGTTTCACAGTTCACATGTTTCACCCATGTTTCGTCACCAGTACGATGCGATCGAGTTAAGAGTCACCATCCTTATGGTAAGCATCCAAAAAGTTCAACGCTGCAGCCATTCGCTGATTTTTGTGGTCCTCTGTCAAGATTTTTGGAATCCATCTTGCACAAAACTTGTGGTAACCAAGCTTTTCGCTGATGATTTCGTGCAACAAACTTCGCGAAATTTGTGGAAAACTCAAGAAAGTTCCGTTATTGTGAAATTTCGATTTTCACGGACTTTAGCATCGACTTTTTCGAGAAGTTCGGCGGTCACTATGCTGGGGTCTCCCACTTCGATCTTCGTCGTGAACATTGGTTCGGCCATTTTGAAATCTTATGACCCACTGACGCACTCCACCTTTCAGTGATAATGTTGTCCCCATACACTTCACGAAGCTGCCGATAGATTTCTATCGGTTTTACAGTTTTTTTGCAGTCAGAAACCTTATTACTGAGCGCACCTCGCAGCTCGCGGGATTTTCAATTAACGCAGACATTTCAAACCGTCACAGTATCTGAACGGAGCACAGCACGAACCTCTCACTAGCACGGCTAGATGCAGACTGAGCTGCGCAACGCTCTGACCCCAAGATGGCCGCGCTAGCCCCGCCCGTCGCGGACACAGACGGAAACGTAATCTACTTCCTGGATGGCCCTCGTATTTTACATATATATACAAAAACACTATTGATATCTTGGCTGCCTGAACAATAATGCAGTATGCATCATATAATCTCATTCACTACGTGCTATTTGTTTATTTTTGACTCTGAACAAATCCTAATTCTTTGAAAACAGATTTATTTGTATCTCCAAACGTTCGTAAAGTGGACAATGTCTGCATAGTAAATACGGAGAAATGTTGTTTGCACAGTAAAGGGAACAAATTTAAATAGTAAACCAAATTTCTGACAACAGTTCATGTTTTAAATACAAATATGATAAAAAAAACTGGTAAATGTTTTAGCGGCATTAAAAAAAGTTAATTTCCCATACAAGAACTTAAAACTAGTGCAATTTTCTTAAAAATTAAGGAAAATTCATCAAAGCTGGCCAATATGATCTAAATTTTGCTATAAGCCATAATCTGACAGAAAGAGTGTCTCAACAGCGAACCACCACTCCAAACTTTTTCTTAAAATGTATTTATTATTCTTTGATGGTCAGTTTTTCTCCAAAGAAATGCTCTAAATCAGTGGTCTTCCCAGTAGGGGTCGTGGAAAATTTTGGGGGGCTGCAAGGTTGCTGAAAACTTTATAAGAGGAGGCCAAACCTATTATAAAACATTTTTGAGAATATGGAGTCACAATACGGAGTGAGCAACTAAAATGGGATTGTAATACTAAAATATTTGGAAGCCACTGCTCTAGATGGTCTCTGATGTTTCTAATAGGACTGAAGCAAAAGCAGGCGAACTCTCTACATATATGTGGCTTTCTTCAGTTTTTGACTGTTTTAAATCCAGCATTTTTTTTAAAGAATATCTTCCATTTTTTTTTAGAAATCATTCTTCCATCATTTTCAAATGCCCTGTTTATGACTTTTGTCCTCCCCTCATACAGAATTTCTAGATAACAGTGAGTGGAAGTGCAAGTTTTATGAAGTCTGAACTTCAACTTTCCTGAAGGTCCTATTTTTCTCACAGTAAATCACAGCATGACCATAAGATTAAGATTGAACTTTAAAAAAATTAAATAGATGGTACTTTTGCTAATCACTTATTTGTTTTCTAAAATATTATTTCCCATTTTGAATGGCAGTCACAGAAAAGAAACAGAAACATCAAACAAGAAAAATTAACGACTATATAAAAACTTTCATCCAAATTAAGGACTTTTAAAGACCAAAAATCATTTCTAAAAAACCTAAGGACTTGTGGACAACTCTTTATTTGCTAGCTAACCCAAGAGAGGGTGCTACCAGCTTTCTCGCTCTTGTCCAGTAGGGGAAAATTTGGATTGGTTTTACACTTTGTTACCGGCTGCCGTCGGTGAAGCATGAACTCGCCTCTCTTCTCCCTTATGATGCTTACCTGTAATACAACTTTTATGCTTATAGCTAACATGGATTTATTACCTGTAAAATTCTTGAGTAACTTGCACCTGATGTTATTTTGTTATTAGTGAACGTGCCTTGAAGTACATATGTATTTTCTAACCTTAATAAAAATGGTAATGTGAACTCAGCCAAGATATCATTGTTATATCTGCAGTAACAATGCACACCCCACTCTAGACTCTTAAGGACTTTTAAAGATTGTATGAATAGTTTATATATCTTCAAAAATACACAGGTCCAGAACTTGCTTCAATCTGCACCTAAATCAAGATCAGTGTCACCCCGATGGTATACTGGTTAGCAATGCAAACTTCCATAGTAAATCAGCCTGGGTTCAAATCATGAAGAATGCATGGATGTTTGTAATTCAAGAATGTGCAGGTGACCCCCTTGCGACAAACTGTACCTGCCTCAAGATTAGTAATATATTCCTTGTTAACTTGCAGGTGTTCATGTTCTACAACTACCAATTCATTAACTTAAAGCAACTGAAAAATCTAGGAAAGAAAATTCCTGCATTGATGTTCACTCTTCCCACTCATTCACACCAACTCTGTTGCACAACTATTCATAAGGCAATATAAAGACTACCACACTTGATGCTTTGGCACACATGATTGATTTCCATTACTAGAAAAATAGTATCTAGTATTACTATTTACTAATTTCTTTTTAATTCTATGCATTAGGGAAACAAATCCTACACATACTATTTAAACCCAGATGTGAAAACAAATAACATAAATTATGATGAATGTAGTGAAGAGGAGGAGAATTGACACTAAGCATTTCCATATGAAATTTTGTATAAATATTTCTCTCTACATTTGGTAATCATATTTATTCTTCAACACAGACATGAAACTTGAATTATTCTAAACTGTAAATAATATGTGACCTCATAAATTTATATTAAAATGAAAAAACCACAGGTTTCATCAGTTCTCCCTTATCACTCACAGAGTATAATATCCATAATGCTCTATTACAAAATCAGTCCATTCTTTAAATTTTTCTCATGAATGGTCTTTAAATTACATATCCATCTTTCAAGAAGCAATACAAAAGAAACTACATAAACAGTTCCAAAAACTTTTAATTTTACTATGCATTTATCAAGGTCATAAAAAAAGTATGATTAACAAAGATACATTCCTCCTTATAAAAAGTTAAACCAGCATTAGACATTTTTCAAAAAGAACATTTTTTTAAAAAAATTAATACTAATATAAGACTTAATTTTTCTTATCTGCAGTTTAAATGGCCAGCATTTTTTTGCATTTAATATTTACTTTTTTATTTCAATTTTAATTCTGAATATTTTAAAGTTTTCATGGTAGAAATGTTTCCATATAGGAAAATTATCCATAAAGCATACATATTTAACATTCTTACAAAAAGTGTAGATTTTTCTGTCATCCTGATGATTTAAAGTGGATAAAAACCGCATTAGATATTTGAAAAAATATAAACTTTATAATCTGCTTAAAAATTAATAGAAATTTGTCTTCACATATGTAAAGCAGAGTCAGGAGAAGGAGACAAAAAATAAATGACTGCAACTTACTTCTTGTACATTTGTAACACATTGAGCAATAACACCATGAGTATAAATCTTCCCATCAGCATCTTCATGAATTCTGATATGAGCCCGTTTGTTCTTCAAAACAAAATATATTAAAATAAAAATTATGGTATTAAAAATATAAAAAGAGAAGTAAATGAAAAGGTTGCAATTCACACAACATACGCTACAAGAATGAAATAACAATAACATTGTATTAATATTAATTCTACAGTGGAAAATAAATTGGCAAATACAAAGTTTCTGCAAAATAAAAAACTTTCGTGTAAACCCAGATAGGTCTGGATCAAACTAAGCACCATATCTATAAATTCTGTTTTGAGATGATATCAAAACAAAGTTGACATATATATATATACACTTCATACAGGTTTTGATCACCTTATAGCAATTAATGATGTAGTTGATTAATAAACAGATCTTTTTATGATATCTGCTATAAATAGACTTGCTTAAAAAGATGGTAATTTTAGCACATGTTGAGGAACTTTATAAGAGACAACAGAATAACCATTTAAAACATTAAAATTCATCTTCATGAGTAAAATACCAGAGCCAATTTTTAATCCAAGGACATGATAATAATAGAAATTGCCATATACTTTCAATGGTAAATAAAACAACTATGAAATATTAATCACATCATTTCTTAATATTTTTCATATTCATCATTTCTTAAATCATTAAAAGAATGGCTGGACAGGAGTTAAGCTACTAGCCCCATCCATTGATGAAACATGCAAACTAAAACATAATTTCCTTAAGGGCTGAAGGTAAAGATGGATTGGAATTAGAATTTTTTTTTTTTTTTTTTTTTTTTTTTTTTAATTTGAACCACCTCTTGAAAATCTAATTCAGCAACAGAATACGTTTTTCAATAATTTTGGCTGCAGAAAAATGGAAAGTGTGATTTTTGGACTAACAATGCTGGGCAACAGAGGACTTGTGTTTCCTTTTTTTAACACACGCCTCATGTTCCTTAACACGAAATTTTAAGGCTCTCTTAGTTTGAATGTAAATTAAACCACATTGGCAAGGAATCCTGTAAATACTCCAGAAATTCATATTCAGAATGGAGTCCTTAAGTATAGAACTGGGAATTTTATTGATAGGAAAATAAACAATCCGAAAGTTAAATTTCTGTAAAATACATGCAGTTTTATAGCTAATTGATGGAAAGAAGGGAATGACAACAGAATTTTTATAATCTCCTAAACAGAGAGTGTGCCTTTTAGGTGTGTTGAGATGAGAATTTTTTAAGTGCTTGGTTAATAATTTTGGGTGAAAAGGCCCCGTCAATAGCTTCTGCTTTTAAATAATTTAGTTCTTGATCAAGAGCCAATTTGAAGGAGCAAACTTGAAGTGCATGGAAAACAAAGGAATAAAATGAAGATAACTTTTGTTTAGATGGATAACATGACATGATTTGAAGTGTGGTGGAAGGCAAACTGATGAAAGTTTACAGTAAACTGCAGTACTGAAGCTGGATGTCTTACTTATGACCAAAATGTCGAAGAACGGAAGAGAATTGCTTGTCTCAAGTTCAAAAGTGAACTGAATAGCAGGAAAAATGCAATTCATTATTGAAAGAACTTTATTCAAATCATCTTTATTACTGTCACACAGGGTCAAAGTATTGTCTACGTAGCGGATAAACCATGCCGGAAGTTTAAAGTTTCAAACAATTTTGATTCATAATAATACATGTAGATATCAGCCAGGATGGGACTGAGGGGGCTTCCCATGGCTTATCCCTCAGTTTGTTTGTAGTACTTATTTTGGAAAACAAAATGTGCTTGTTTCAAAGAGTTGAGTGAGGGAAATTAGCTCATCAATTTCGATGCAGGAGAAATGAAATTCACGAAGTCTAGACATCTTAATGCACCCTGCACAGGAACATTGGTGATAATGATTTTACCTCAAAAGAAACCATGAGTAAATTTCTAGGAGAAATGCTTTTAACTTTTTTTACAAGCTCTATCGAATTTTTTATGGTATAAATCAGCGGTTCTCAGCCTTTTGACTAACGCATATCATCTAAACAAAAACTGATAATCTTTAATACCATCACTACATTTTACCATGATTATATTTCAATTTCTCAATACAAATATTTTTAAAAGAAGTATTTTGCCATTTGCACAACCTATTGACTATTTGTAGTGTGTTTAAAAAATATATATACATATTTCAAATGCATATATTTATTAAACAGTATGATAAACGAATATGAAACTTCACACACATATGTACGAACCTCTCAAGTTCAGATTACAGATGTTACAAATGTTCAATATGTCCTCCATCATCGACATGGACAATATCACATCGATACTCAAATTCCTCCCATAATCGGGCAAGCATGTCCATCGTCTCTGATGTTATGACTGTACAGATCCGGTTCTTTACCTCGTCCAGGTTCTGTGGGAGTGGTGGTACATAAACGTTGTCTTTAATGAAACCCCACAGGATGTCAAATCCGATGACTGTGGAAGTCAGCTGAGACATGCTAAGTCGCCAGCTCCTTGATGACCAATCCAACGGTTTGGTAGAGTTTCATTTGGATAATTACGCAATTGACAACACCAGTGAGGGGAGTGCCCCGTCTTGTCGAAAAATGAAGTTGTCTTTGTGCAGCCTCGGAAACAACCAGTTTTGTAACATAACGAGATACTGCTGACCGTCAACCATGTTTCCATCAAAGATGAATGGCGAGTAAACAGATGATCAGGATATCGCACAAAACACATTGATTTTGGGCGAATCTTGTACATATTCAATGGCTGTATGTGGGTTCTGTAGGCCCCAAATTCAACATTGTGTTTGTTTACATGACCACTAACATAAAAAGTCGCTTCATCACTGAACATGATGCATTGTGCAAAAGTGTTATATTGTCAATAGCATCTGTTTGGAATTTTTGCGCTCCACGTGTCTACTCATTTCGCTTCTGTTAGAAAGTTTATTTTTCAGTACATACAAATGTACTTTACTTCATTTGGATAGTTTTGTTGTTTTGACCTGTTTACCATGTCACATAGAAGCGTTGGTAGAAAATATCGAACACAGAAAGGGATGGTGAAAGATTTTGAGAGCCTTTTGGATGAAAATTCTGCTTCAGAAATTAAACTTGATGAAGAGTTTCATTCCGAAACTACATACAGTTTATCTGATGAAGACTGAATTGTTCCTAGTGAAACAAGTGAATGCGATTCATCTGATGGAGAACCTGTTCGCAAAACAGAAAAGGAAAGTAAAAATTTAGATCAATATCCCAAAGACTGCAAACTGATTCATTTGCCCTTGTTTTGGATATCTGGAATGCTTTTATAGAAAACTGCTTGAAATGTCATAAGATGGGAGAAAATATGACAGTGGACGAACAACTATTTCCCACGAAGACCCAATACTGATTTATTCAGTGTATGTCTAAAAAGCCAGACAAGTTCAGCATTAAATTTTGGCTTGTTACTGATGAGCAGTCAAAATATTTACTGAATGGTTTTCCTCATTTGGGAAGTGACGAAACAAGACCAGCTGGAGAAACAGTAGGTGAGCATGCAGCTTTTTGCTGGAAGGAACCGCTGAAATTAGTAAAGAAATGAGGAATTCAGGGATAAGCTATGTTGGCACAATAAATCGTTCAAAAAGAGAAGTACCTTATTCTTTCAAAAATGCAAGGGATGAGCTCTGTTTCTAGTAAAATTGCTAAGGCATGACAATATAATCCTTATGTCTTATCAGGAGAAAAAAAAACAAGAATGTCATGCTCCTGATTACCATGCACCCAATATTGGAAATCGCATCTGATAGAAAAAATACACCAGAAGTAGTGAATTTTTACAATTCAACCAAATATGGAGTTGATATTTTGGACCCGATGGCCAGAAATACACAGTGAAGTCCTCATCCAGCCATTGGTCGGTTCAATTTTTTTATTTTTTATTTATTTATTTATTTTTTTTTTTAATATTCTTGATTTCTCTGTGACAAATGCATGAATAATTTACAAGGAAACAACTGAAAATAAGAATATCAATCATCGTCATTTTATTTTGAATATGCCTGAGAAGCTTCGAAAGATGTGCATTTCATCCAAAATTCACAAACTTTCTGTATTAAATGAAAAGAGAATTGGTACTTGTGTCAATCCTTCCCGTAAGCGTAAAAAATACCAAATAAATGCATGCAGATGCAACAAAACTTTGAATAGGTGTGAATACTGTAAAAAATATATTTGTGGAACCTGTATCAGTAAAATTAGCAACATGTTACGAATTGCAAAGCTAAGTAATGTAAGTACTAATATGTGTAATTTTTAATATATTTATTCAATACTGAAAATGTTTATGAGGCAATTTATTAAATGATAAATTTAAAAATATCTAGCGTGATCTGCATTCTCTTTCAGCCCTTTGTTATATTAAATTATCCTTCAATTTATATATTTACTCACTTTGCTTTATTTTGCTCTTTGTTATATTAAATTATATTTTGGTTGCATTACTTACTCAGTTTACTTTATTTACTAATTAACAAGCAAAATATATCATTATAAGCATTCACTTTGCATAATATTAGCAAAACGCAAGCCTTTTCTTTTATTCGAAACAAGTGGTCAAAATGACCACTGATCATAGCTATAGGTATATGGAAAATGCCGTAATGCTAGTATTAAATGAATATTTCTGTATTTAGGATTATGTTTTCTGCCCATAACAGTACAGATAGGGGAAATTTTAAATAGAATTATCTTATCAAGCCTAGGTTTTTAATTATTTGTGATTGCACTTACTGTCAAATTGTTCATATGAAAGAAAAATTAAAACTTGGGTACTTCCTTATTATAGAGGCTCCCAAAATTTAATCACTAATCAAATGAGGTGTAACACACAGCAAGGTATTCCAGCGAGATATCTTGTTTGATAAGCGATTCAATCTTGGAAGCCAATATAATAAGGAAGTACCAAATCTGTGTGTTATCCATTTTGGTATGCAATTACTGATCTAGAATTTTTTCTACACAACACATTCAGTGTCATACAGTGAAAAGAATTTTTCCCCCATCCATTTCACTTTTTTGAAAAGAATATTTGTGTGTTGTTAAAGGTTTAAAGTTCAGAAATAAAAAATAAAATTGCATAAAGATATGGTTTTAAAAATGTCTTTAAAATAAAGCTCATGAAGAAACCTTAAACGGCATACAAATAAAAAAAGAAAAATTCCTTTTATACACTTAAATTAATCCTCATTCTAGCTTTAACTGTATTAAAAAGTATAGCCTAACCCAATGTATTTATTACAGAATTTTTTAAAGGGTTACTTCCCAGTTTTTGAAATTTACACTCTTGGAATTCTATGAACTTAACAGTCAAAGTCTGCAAAAAGGCGTTTTCTTAAAAATCACATATCACAAGAATTCAGGCCCTTTCCTAAAGCATATATTATAGGATGAGAAGAGAATACATTTCTAATGCTTTGTCCCCCTAAAAACAAACATTTGAATTGTTCTGTCATGAAAACAATAAAAGTGAGCTTAAAATTACAAAATTTGAAAGCCTTTTTACCTGTGGTATTTAGACTGAAAAAGAAATAAAAGAAAATACAAAATGAAAATAAGAAAAAGGAATAAAAGAAATTAAATACAAAATGAAATTTCATTACACTATTTTTTTTGGGGGGGGGGCAATATTCCCCTCAAAATGCTTGAAAAACTGCATTATTCTCTCTAAAAGTATGTTCTTCCAGTTTTTGTAGTTATTCTTCAACATAGTTTAATACAATGTATTCATCATTTCTCATTTTGTTTTTGATCAAGCTAATAAAAAAAAGCAAATTTTACCAGATTTTTTATTTCAAATGTATTAATTCAGTTTTTGAAGCTAAATAATAAGGATTTTTGAAAATGATTAAAGAAACAGGATTAACTGTTAACATTTATTATGGCCTGCTATTAAAAAAATCATTATCAGGCCAAAATATTGTGCCTTTTTATTATTAAAAAATGAAGAACTGCATTAAATAGATCCTACAAAATATTAAACCATTTTTTTTCATATTTTTTCATTAATAAAAGATTATTTTTAATCAAAAATATAAACACACATTTCAAAGAAATACTTCTAAAAAATACTTAAAATTCATTGTAAATGCTGCCAGTAACTTTCTTTGATTGAGGAATAAGAAATTTTTAAAGCATTATTTTAAGAAATTTTTAAAGCATTATTTTAAGGAATTTACTTAAGAATTGGGTTTCAGTATAGAAAAAGGTGGCCTTTGATCTAGCGCCCAATACCAAAGCTGCTACCAGTTTTCTGGTAACCCAGAATCGATTCTGTTTCCCCAACATTATAGCAGCTATTTGTTACATACTAATGTTTTTCTTAAGTTCAATCTGATTGGAACTTCTTAGATTAGTGATCGAGGGCTACACGATTTGTAGTACGTGTATTACATACTTTAAATTTTGGCTCTATTTTGAACTATTGGAATTTTAATTGCCATTAATTGACTTTTGATGGGTGGCTGATTCTAATTAACCACTGTCCTGCCACTTTCGCAAAGTATGCCTGGCAAGATAATTACTCATTATTTTCATGATTTCAAGCAGAAGAGTAAGAAAACTAAAACTAATTGACGTATGAATGATGGTTCAGTTAGTTCCTGTTATGAATGTCAATTTCGTATGAAAAAAATGTGTCTGGTTGAGCTTAAGGATCAATCGGATGGATGGTTATGAAAGGGTTTGTTGTCAGAAAAGCGCTCAAAACTGATGCTCATACCAATACCATTGAGGGCATGTTGATCCAAATTAAATGAGTTTCGCAAGTGGGGTCTGCGGCAGTCAGTGGTTGACATTTCCAATTTCTATTTGAGGAATTTATGAGGCATCGTTAAAACCCAGATCAGGAAAGGAGGATCCATTCTGGGATTATATCAATTACATAAAAGAATTATAGTTGCTGCAATCATCTGATACTCACAAGAAATAGCCAAGAACAAGCGACATGAGTACTTTTGTTGTTTTTGCAACATATGTTTTCAGAGTTGTTTTGGACGACAGCCATCTTGGAAACATTCTTGGTGTCAAAAAAAAAAAATCGCTAAACGTATCAAGGGGCACCCAACTGTAAACTTTTATTAAAGACACCTCAAAATGCTTAAAAGGTATTAAGAACAAATTACAAATAATACAAGAATAAATAAAAGAATAAATAAATTCAAACTATGCTTATTCTGCTATCTAAATCTTAAAGCAGTATCCAAGAGGTAAATAAACTATGCTTACTTTGTTATCTAAATCTCTAGCAGTATCTAAAAGGTCAATAACTTCTTCATTGTACAGCTGAAAAAAAAAAGTAACTTGTTAATTCACACACACACATACCAAAAAAAAAAAAAAAAAAAAAAAAAAAAAAAAAAAAAAAAAAAAAAAAAACTATAATCAAAGTTCAAAAGGTATTCAATAAATTCTTAGAAAATGTTTAATCTAAAATTTAGTGCCAGTAGCAGCCAGGGGTACTCATGCTGCAGAAATAATTACAGAAAAAGGACATGGTCTCAGTCGCAATCACGTTAAACTTCAAGTGTTGCGGATGTGTTTGAATTACACCATGAAACACACCTTTAATTTATTTTGTGGCAACAATATTTTGTCAAGTTTTATTTTTTGTGGCAACCATGATTTTTTTTTCATTTGTGGCAACAATTTTATGAATCACGTGCTTTGAATGTTATCAACTTTATATTTCTTTAATATTTTCAATTATTTAATATGTGATTAATTTTAATTATCTAGTACATCATTATTTTAAATTGTCTAATCTATTATTTAGTTATATTTAAGCAATAAATTTTATATAATTGCACGAGTTTTAAAAATACTCTTAGAGGTGGCATTCAAACCTGCTGCTTCTCGAATGGGAGACACGCACATTACCGCACAGCCAGTTTTGTCATTTGAATCCTGTTACTATCTTGTCCATTTGACCTTATGCAGGGAAAGACACCAGAATGCCAACTGGGTGAAAGACTGCATATGCACAAACTTGTTGAAGTGGACATAGATTTATTTTACCTTTCTAAATATCATTACTTTATTCTTTTAAATGTAAGATTTTTCTCATATTTTACATGCCCTTTTTTTGTTTTAAAAACATATATATATATATTTTTCTTACTAAATTAAATTTGTTGATTTTTCATCCCACATTTATATTTTTTTCAAACATAAATTTTACTTTTAATTTTCACAAATTAATGTTTCTTCATTTTTATTTCTACACAAAAAAAAAAATCTATTTTGATATTTCTTTTCATAATTTTTTTAAATTAGGGAAATCTCCCCCTTCCCAAAAAAGAATTTTTTTCTCCTTTTCACTTTTTAACTTTTACTTTTAAAAGTCATTTTTTTTCCTCTTTTACTTTTTTTGTTTACACAAATGCATATTTTTATTTTTCCTCCGAAAATAAAATTTTAATTTTTTTATTTTCATTTTTTACTTCCCTGTATAAAGTAAAGGAACTATTGTAATCAAAAACCATTTCAGGTATAATAGTTCAACGAAAATATCCACTCTGACCATTCTCGTATCCATTTGAATGATTTTTATGAATGATTTTTTCGTGAAATGGAATTATAAGAAGTTTGACACAAAAATTGAGCAGGATATTTAATTTAAAAATTGCAGTTTTTTATGTTAACTAAGAATAATTCAAGAGAATAAGTTTAAAAAAAGAGCAGCAAAAAAAATCTGTATAATTCAATAGGCTTTACAAGGAAGTCAAGTGTTGGAAAGAAAAGCTGAATAGCATGATAGGTGATTACCTATCATAAAAATATTTCTTCAATCTTAATTTGCTATGCAGTCTTCCTTTTTAGTCCAGAAGGACTAATGCAGTCTTCCTTTTTAGTCTAATGTTGCAATTCAAAGTAATGTTATATAATTATTTTTAGTTTTTTCTTAATTTATGCACTTAATCTTATTTGACACTATAGTAAAAAAGTACTTTTATCTAAGATCAGGAGTTTTCACTGATTCCAAAACTAGTGATCATTTGCCAATAAAGGCTTGCATCTTTGTTATAATCCTACCTTTAAAACTTCTTTTAAGCATGTAGTTCAGTTCTTCCACATGTTTGTAATTTGTTATGTTCGTCACGAGTCTCTGAGGTGTTTTAAACATACAAAGCTATACAATTTACTCAGTGTTACCATTCTACTTTTGTTCTGAATCTATACTGAAAGTATTAATTAAGCAGTATCTACCAGGGGGAAGACACATGTCAGACAAGACAGTTTCAGTTACTTCTGCGGCAAACAAAGTTATCATTACTCTGATTGTTACCAAATTCAGCTTAATATATATTGAAGCTACTGGTCTGGATGAGACACAATCCATATTAGGATTTTACTTCATCTTCTGTGATAAGTTATCAACTTATCACATAAAGTGCTATTTTAAATAAACTACCAAAGTGCTTAAATTTACAAGCATATACAGTATTTGACGGCATATAAATAACACTTTTTTCCTAAATTTGGTCTAAAAAAAAGTTACCTGTGTCTTATACATGAAGGACACAGGTTAACTTTCAATACTTAGTGCTATTTTTAGCCTGGATAAAGGTCTAGACACACATAACTTTTTCTACATCTGCCATAATTATTTTGCGCAAGCATGAAATATCTGTCGCCAAAAAGCGGCAACTTTTCCTTCTTTACATAGACTTTCTTTGACTCAGCCAACACACGTGTCGGTATCGGTCCTACTCTGTATAAATGTGTCAGTATCGGTGATTAAAACTATTCGTTTAAAAAAATTACCCTGGAAAATATGACTACAGGAAACAAGAGATTAAGCTATAAAATTCAGTATAAACTAGGAATGTTAAACTACGCCAAAGTTCATGGAAACAGAGCAGCAGCAAGGTATTTCGGTCCACCACCTACCGAAGAAATGATATGTACTTGGCGACTGCAGGAAGATCAACTGAAGACTGCTAAAAAAACAAAAACATAACCTTCGATGTCCAGTTCCATCTTGGCCTGAACTTGAAAATTCCGTAAAAATGTGGGTGATAGATAAGAGGAAATCTGGGATAAGTATTTCAACTAAAATAACAATCAATGTGGCCAAAGGATGCGCAGAAAAACGGGGGAATCAAAACTTTTCAGATTCTGAGGGCTGGTGCTACAGGTTCATGAAAAAGTAAGGCTTATTAATGTGCACAAAACAACTATTGCACAGAAAATGGCAGCAGATTACGAAGAAAAAATACTAGCATTTCATATGTTTTTTATAAATGCACGCAAGAACACTTCTTTTGAGCTCAGTCAAATAGGAAATATGGATGAAATTCCACACACATTGATGTACATCCAACAGACTGTGAGTATTAAAGGGTCTAATCAATAACATAAAAACACAGGTCATGAAAAAACTCGATACACGGAAGTTCTAACATGTTGTGCTGATGGCACAAAACTAAAGCCGTTTTTCATATTCAAAAGGAAAACTCATCCGAAAAAAAACTTCCAATGGGTGTAATTGTTCATGTTAATCCGAAAGGCTGATGTATCGGTAAATAAGCCATTTAAGGAAAACGTGCGAGAATGATGGAACAAGTGGATAGGAGAGCCACATCACGCCCTCACACCCTCAGGTAGAATGGAGCAGTCCTCTATTTCACAAGTGTGCGAGTGGGTAAAAAGATCTTGGGAGGACGTAAAGGCTGAAGTAATTGTTAAGACTTTTAAGAAGTACGGAATCAGTAATGCTCCTGACAAAACAGAAGGCGACACATTATTCGAAGAAGATGATACTAGCGATGACGGAAACAGTAGTGTTGACGATATTCTCGTTTTTGATGATGATGATAGTGAAAAGGATTTTATGTTTTGAAGTGATTAAAGTCTAATTTCATGATAGGCAACGTTTTCCTTGAATCTGTGTTTTTTGTTGTTTCTGCTTTATTGTATTATGTTTGATTGCTTGTTCATCATTTATTCATTATTGAAATTACATATCATGTCAAAATGCTCGCCATTTGTTAATTTTCCTTAATAAAAATATGTTTGGTAATTGCATTCAATGATTGTTTATTTGGCTTTTACGAAATGTGAGAACTAAAAGAAACCACATTTTAAGTTATTGTGGTATTCTGCTCTCGCGCAGACTATTGAAACTATATTTAGATATTTGTGCACTATTTTACACAAAAATGCATAAAACATAAAAACCTACTTCCATAAATTGAGCATTGACTTTGAATTCAGGAGGCACCAAACCTTTTTCTTTCTCCGCTTCTTGAATTTCAGTAATTTTCTTAAATAAGTGCTCAACAGCACGAGGAATGATGCCTCTTTCTTCATGGTGAAAGCTGTGATCAAAACCAGTACCCATAGTATAAGTTTTGCCTGAACCCGTCTGAAATACAGTTTAACAGTCAAAAGGCATTATAAACAGCTACATAAATGCAATATGCAAACATGAAACATAATAAAGCAATATATTAACAGCAAATATGAAAAATAAGAAAGAAAGGAAATAAATAAATTATAAATATCTTGTAATTTAAACTGAGAGTATGTCTAACACGAAAGATAGTTTCAATGCAATCACTTTTAGCTCTAAAATAATAAACTAATGCAATAATAACATACTGGTGCAACTTAATCAACTGTGAGTTGTAACTTAATTAATTGTTAGGTTAGGTTATTTAATTACGGCAAAGCCTCGAGGGCTATCTGCCTAAGAGGAGGGATGCCTTCATGGATGACTTTCTAAGGGAAACTGGCTCGTATACACGTTACACATGAGGAAAACCACGAAAACACTCATGCAGCCATCCCGTTCGCGGGATTCGAACCTCGGACCAAACTACCAGTGTTTAGCGACTTTACCTCTCGGCCGCTGGTGGGCTAATTAATTGTTAAAATCCAGTGAAGTTTTTCTTTTCTTTTTCTGTCAAAATAGTTATTTTCCAAATGTTAAAGAATTTAAGCTAATCTCTGTACTGATTTCACAACAGATGCCACTTACAGCTATTTTGGTACTTCAGTGTTAACCCTAGAAGCCTAACCTAACCACAGAAAAACACTGAAGGCAACCTTTCATAAAAACACTACTACTAACATTTTACTTCAAAACATGCCTTAAACTTTTCCAAAACGTATTTGAACATGCTGCAACACATTGTGGCCATTCACTGCTTAGAATCAGGGTAGAATGTACAAATTGTCATCTTGCTTCTCTTCTACTTGACAATATCTTGGATCATTCACATTAAGAATTCTGCATCATGTCAGAAAACGGGTCAAAGTTGGAATTGTAAGATGTTTCCCTAACCAAAGTTTGATCAATTCCTTGCTTACATCTGTCTTAAATTCTTGTCAGTCCCAAATTCTTTGCCTTTACTGATAAACATTTGATCATTAAAAATTCAAATTTCTAACCATATTATCAGATTTAAGTCTTTTCAAATCAGACTCATTTAAATTACCTAAGTTAAGATGACATTTTATACAATCACTTACCTGTGATATTGCAGCTCTTTCAGTGCTTGGATACATATAATAAAGATCAATAATATAGATCCATTTGGTTCTATATTATTGATCTATTAATTTGGTTCTATTAATTTAGCATGCCATTCTGCACAAAGCACTGAAGGATTATTTGCGATAGGTTTAAATGTTGACAGCAAATTGCATTTTAATACCAGCATACATAGCACATTTCTGAGTGTCAGATTAGTTGTCCCATTCCCATTAGGTACTGTTATCAAGACAGTTCCAATTCCTGTAATTTTTACTGTTTTGTAAATTGCTAGTTTTATTGACGAATTCATTTGAGGATGAAATTCTGAAAATGATCTTCTATCATTGCATATGCGAGATGTGCAACCACTATCTAAACGTCATAAGGAAATCTGTTGATAAGCATTGTTTACTGCCAAACTAGTCAGTTCTTCATAACTAGTACCTATCATTAGAACCTTGGTTTCCCTTACTTGATTGCATGTTTTCTATCAGCTGTTTTCTTTTTACATTTATTTGCCTTGTACCCAATTTTTGAAAAGTGATTACACTTCAAGTTGCGATAACTTCTTTCCCCAGGAAAATCTTTGTTTTAATTTAGCCTCCATCTTTTAATTTTTCTTCTGTTCTTGACACCTCCTTTTATTTTCAGTATAGTACTCATTTTGTAAATCTTGAGATGCTTCTTGCTTCCTATACTTGTAGCCTCTTAATTTTAATCTTTCAGGCTTAGATTTTAAATTTATTACTGTCTATAATTGAATCAAACTGAAAAAAACCAACCTAGAAATATTGTTATTTACATTAAAAAGTAATGTATTAAATAAAAAAGAGAAAATGTGTTCTGTGTTCCATCTTGTGATGTATTATAAAGAGATACTGGTCACCGGTCAAGTTGGCCTCTGCTCGGGGTGTTAATCATTTGGAGTTCTGATGGCAACTCGTCAGAAGAAACTAGGGCTATATGGCTGTAAGGTAAGTTCTGTTGATCTGTCCAGATATACATTACTGTAGCTTGGAAACTGTTAATGGTGATAGGACACTTTGATTTACAGAACATTTGAGCATACACATTACTTGGAGCAATCGGAAAGACAAATCTGTAACAGTGCTGTATAAACAAAGTTAAATTGCAGCTAGAACATGAAATAACACCTAAAGCTATGGGTAGCTGATAAGCAAGCAAATAAACTGAAAATATGTAACAGTATTGAATATAAAGGTATCTTGTGCAGATCTGTTACTGCTAGCGATCACAGCCCATGCTGACCAGTTTGCAGGAGCTGGCTTTTTAAGATAATATCTTGAAGTATGTGAGCAGTCAAATATATAATGAGCTGTTTTTCCTTCCTTACCGCATACAACACAGAGATGTGTTACCACACAGTGAAACTCAAACAGAATGTTAGATATTTTTTGCTAGGAAATACTTTTCAAAATTTACTCTTGCATTACTTATGTTACTTCAACTTGCCACTCCTCAGAGGCTCCTTAGAACATACTCTTGAATTCCCTATCTTTTAGAGAAGGAAAAAAATTCTTTTACTCATACGTTCTTTCTAATCCTTTATTTGAAATACCATTTTCTAAGAAAAATTTTAGATAAATACTTTTTATTGCCCACCATCAGAAATGGGTCCTTCTTTATTATAGCAGCCTTCGAGATTGAATTAACAATCAACCAATGATATCTCAACAAAATCTGTGTACACATTCTTATATCTCACCACTTACTCATGTTTTAGGGGCATGTTACATTTTTGCTCACACTAAATGTTCTTATATTATTACTTTTTATGAGGTTTTTGAATTCACATTGTTTATATTTGAAAATATACTCATTTTTTTTATGTGTGAATATGGCGTTAACAATCTTCAGTTTACCAAGTAATGAGTTGGATGTCATATAATTTTCTTTCCAGAAAGATATCTTTTACCTGACAAATGATAATGCAAAAATTGCCGCAACATGAGACTTTATGTTAATGACGAAATCATTTGGAGATGCACTTTTAAAAAACTTCAAAAAGAAGAAGGGCCTCAGTGTCAAAAATTTGTTTTCAACAGTTTCAAAATATCATTCATCACTGCTACTACATTTATATTCTTAGGCAAAGTAGTTAACATCCATGAAATGGTATAACAAACAGCTTAATGTGTTTGGAAGTGCTGCAGTTGACTGGAACAATTAGGTGTGATAAAATAATAATACTTAAGATAAAGATACTTAAAAATATTCTTAGAAAACAATATGTATTATTTATTGTTATTTTATATTATGTTGTTTATTTACTTTCTCACTTTACAAGCTTGGCAAAATTATAGCCGAGATCTTGACCCAACGCAAATCTAAAATTGCCAAATATGGTTAGGGGCCGCTATAACAAAGAAGTACCCAGAAATGTATGTGTTACGAATTTTGTACACATGTAAATAATTTTAAGGTAATAAGTCAAATTGTAAGCGTATTTTTTTAGCTCAAAGGGGCAATTTGCCCAAAGTCTATTAATATCATTTTACATTTTCCGTTGATTCACTATAAACAGAGAATCACTTTAAATTGTGGCTACCAAATATTAGAGCCCTGTATTATATTCAAAGAAATTAAATAATGAAAAAGCTGCATAAATGTATGTACGTTTCTCGCATTGTGATAAAACAACGGTACTTAGAGCCATCAAATTTTGAATAAGGTCTTTACCTGAATATGAGCATCTGGAAGCCCGAATTTGGAATTTGTTTTATTATCTACTTCATATTTTGTAAAGTATTTATGAGTTTCTGATTAAGAAAATGATTTCAAAGGGAGCAATGACAACACTGTATGGGGGCGATTCCAGTGCGCAAGACTGTGTATTGGAAATTCTAAAGATATGCTCTTTTAAATATTTTGTGATGTTGCTGTTGAACTGAATTTTACGGTTTAAGTGCAAAGAAGATATCTAACAAATAAAGGTAATACACAGAATGTTAAAAAAATGCCTTTTTAGATGTAATATAAAATCTGAAAGCTTTTTCTTTTCCTCTTATTTTTTATATTAATCAAAGAATATGCTGGTCAGTGTTGAATAAATTAGTAATAAAGAGCCAAAGAGTGTGAAACCACATAAAATTTCTTCTCTTTGGCAATATTTCTAGTGCAACTTTTATTTATATTCTCAATAGGTAAAAACTGAAAGAAATTCATATAAATACAGTGAACTCTCAATTATCTTGTTTGTCCATTATCTGTGAGTGGCAATGTCCAAGTATGCACACTCAACACTACGTGTGAAAATGTGCAAAAACTAAACATGCACAAGTTCAAGCATGCTATGTAAACTGTTGAACTACATCTTTAGGTTCAGTGTCAACAGTTACCTCATACCATCCGAAGATAGAATTCGGAGATTTATTTAGTTGTGAAAAAGTCGAGGCAAAAACTGAAGTTAAATGCCAAAAACTGAAAATGTAAAATTCTTCGAAAATGTCGATAGAGAAAATATCAAGGAATGGTCTGATGCCGATTCAACTGAGCCAAGTTTTACATGCCTCAGTGATGCGGATATCATTTCAGATGTCAGAACAACAGAAAAAAAAAAGGGGGGAACGAGAATGATAATGAAAATGCAAGCAAAGAAGATACTGATAATTACATTAGTCCAGAGACAGCTATAACTGCTGTTGCAAATCTGTCAGATCTTGTTGACCGAAGAGAATTTGAATTCATTGATAAAATAGTGCTTCCAAAAATTGGTGTTTTTTTTTTTTTTTTTTTTTTTTTTTTTTTGGTGTATTTAATTATGGCAAAGCACACTAGGGCTATCTGCCTAAGGGAAGGGATGCCTTCGTGGATGACTTTCTAAGGGAAACTGATTTGTATATACGTTACACATGGGGAAAACCACGAAAACACCCATGCAGCCAGTCTGTTCATAGGATTCGAACCTCGGACCTAACTTCAGCGACTTTACCGCTCGGCCGCTAGTGGGCCCCACTTCCAAAAATAAACAGTAAAATTCTACAAATAACTAATTGTTCTCAATAACAAAGTAAAATTACTGATTTTTCTAGAAATAAGCACCTTGGATGATGCTTGATAATTAATAGTTTGAATATTCCTTTCTTTTTCTTAATCCAAAGGGGCAATTTTCCCTGAAGGACTATTGATTTAATTTTGGCATTTTGCATTGAAAACTTTCAAAGGCTGTATCACTTTTCAACTCACTGCCACCATATATTATCACCGTCTTATATTTAAAGAAATTAAATAATGAAGAATCTGCATAAATGTATGTATGTTTCTCGCATTGTGATAAAATTAATGGTACCTAGAGCCATCAAAATTTAAATAATGTAATTTTTATAGAATATGGGCATGTGGAAGCCTTAATTTGAATCTGAAATTTGTTTTATTATCGATTTCAGATTTTGTAACACTTCGACAAATTTTTTACTTAAAAAATAAACGATTTCAAAGCAAGCTGTACGAAAAAACATTTTTATCTCCAGCACGTAAGACTGTCTTTCGGAAGTTCTAAACGTATGCTGTTTTTAAATATTTTGTAATATTGCTCTTGAATTGAATTGAATTTTATTTGGTTTAAGCGCGAAGAACATGATATTTAATAGCGTGCAAGACGCTGCACCATAAATTCTAAAGATATGTTTTTTTTTAAATTAATTTGTGATATTGCTGTTGAACTGAATTTTATTGTTTGAGATGTAGAACATGATATTGAATAAATAAAAGTAACACAGAAAATGTTTTAAAAAATGTCCCTTTGGACATAATTTAAAATCTAAAACCTTTCTTTTTTTTTTTTTTTAAATAATGTAACATGAAAATCTAAAGTAGTGGAAGCTCTGCTATAAAAGTAAGAAACAGGCCAAGTGTTCTACTTAACATTGAGTAAATGGCTATCTCATTAAACTGGCGAGATATCTTGGTGACATTTTTGTCCAGTCCATGTATAGTTGTAATTAGTATTGTGACTGAATAAATGTAATTAATCTACATATGTAAAATTTGTAACTGTATCTGACCCTCATATTCCTTCTAGTAATTTCAAGAAATGGAATGTAACAGATTTCTTGCCGGCCAGGTGAAAACTCTGTAAGACAGAAGAAAGCACTGCTCTCAATTGATGGTTCAGAGTTGAATTTGGTGTATTGAGATATCCATGAAAGCTTCGCCTTTTAGATGCACTTTACATTGCACTGTGTTTATTGGTCTTAGTAGTTTGAAGTGTAACTATTGATGGTGCTCTGTGATACTGAGAAAAGCTGTTTTGAGTTTTTTTGTGGAAGGTTCAAGAATCGTAAAATGTTTCTTTTGATAAAATAAATTTCATCATGTTATCATCAGTTCTGAGTGCCTTCAATCTATTACGAACACATACGAATGCAACATATGCTATAGGTGAAGTACATTAATGTTTCATTTCATGAGTTTCATGAATCCGAGAATTTGGGAACTATCCTGTAATGAAAAATATCTACTAAACAATGATGTCTGAGATTTGATTACAGAACTGTTATGAAAACAGAGGGAGAAGACCTCAGAAATTTTCAAACAGAAGTACTATAATAAGCTATAGTCCATAAAACTATTTAAAAAATCTGACTTATCTAAAATATATAATAAAACTAAAACCTAAACACTCCTAACTTCTTTTCGGTGCATATATAATTAAAGAAAGGAAAAATATATACATGTACAAAAATATGCTTAATGTACATACTTGTCCATAGGCCAAAACAGTTGCATTGTACCCATCAAAACAACTGAAAAAATACATACAGAACAATAATCAGGTCATTAAATACAAATTTTATGAGAAAATATTGCTGTAAATTAATGCAAACATGTGAACAGTCCATTAATGCATATTTATTATCATTATTATTATTATTTTAATAATGATTAAATTACATTACTTCAATGAAGAATGAATTTACCCAATGAGTAATTGCATTACTCCAATGTAAAATTTTTTCATTAAATTTATATATATATATATATATATATATAATAATTTAGAAGAAAAGGCTGAGATACCAGTATTTATGGCAAGTAGAACAATTATTTTATTTCTTGACAAACTGCTTTTGATGTACACAAACATTTTTGATAAAAATATGCATAAATTGGCACAGTAAGTGCACCTGTTCTTAAAGAGTTGCATCAGTAACCTTTAGAATTTTTACACATGCCATATATTTCCAATTACAAGCTGAGAATTTTTTTAACTTTTTTTACAGGGTAAACTAAATTACGGGGTTAGCTTACATATGGATCTACTGATCTCGGAAAAACATAGGTACATTTCCATTAGCCAGGCCCAAGCAATAAATTACTAGTTTATATTTCTTAAGCTTCCGAAAAAATACTTTAAATGAAATATTTGTATTATGAAAATAAGTTTATTTTTTAAATTGTTTATATTGCTGGTTTGTTGCATCATCATCAAAATGAAAGATCTTGTGTTGGTAAAATTAGCACCCAGCTTTCTACATTCTTCAACTTATTTTCATTGATGGAGATATGCCAAGCAGCCATACTGTTATTAGAATTTTCAGCAAACATCATCGCAATTTGAAAAATGACCATATAAAAATTTCTTTTCCCATTCATCTTTCAGACAAAAAATAAAACGACAAAGAAAATAAGAATACCACAGATTGTACACGACAGCAAATGAATCGAATAAATGTGCTAGCTTCAGAGTTACCAGAGTTAAAACTATCATCATTGATGTCTTGTATTTTGATTTACAATGATTTGATTGGAAAATATCCCAACTGTTTTATTTGTATGGCAACATTTTCCCCATTATGGCAACATGTTTGAATATTTCGAGTCCCCCCCCCCATTTTCGCTTATATATAGTTTCTTAATTTTAGGTAAATGTTTGGAAGAAAAAATGCACTCTCAACTTATACACAGAATGGTTTATATTCAGAAATATATTGTATTATGGTATGACAAAGCAGCAGAAAAATTAGCAAGTTGATAGCAACAAAGCCAGACAGAAAATGCAGCATGTCTAAGAAAAGATAAGAGTTTGGTTAAGAATGACTTAATTTCAACCAAGCTTTATTTTCACTGGTTAATTTCAAGTTTTTATTCCCATGTTTGAAATTATTATTAGCTCAAATTATTATTATGTAAGTTAAGTATCTGTAACATGAATGTTTGAAATTATTATTATGTAAGTAAGTATCTGTAACATGAATGTTTGAAATTATTATTATGTAAGTAAGTACATAATAATAATTTCAACATGAATGTATCAGGTGAGGAACATTAATTTTTAATTGATGCATTTTATTGAAGTTCATTACAAGCAATTACTATTTTTTGGATAAAAAATAGAAATAAACAAATTAAAATGGACAGAAGGAACCAAAACAAATTAAAGCTAGTGTTCTGATTTACATATTTTTTATATTACGCATTCTGTATTATGGCTATAACTGTTTTATTGTTGCAGTTTGTCAAATTCAGTAAATAAAGTAACCAGTTGCAAATTAATAAAAATATGCGTTTCGCGTGGTTATGAATTAATGCATATTTGTTTTTGTATTTTGCATTATTTCAGTGTTAACTACGTCTGGAGCATTAAATTCATATAATTATTTTATTGTAGTAGTTTGTGTAGTCTGTGGATATAATCATGAAAGCTTGCAAACAAACATGTTAACAAGTTAAACAGAATGGACATACTGATGTGAAATCACTAATAAAATCACCCTTAGAAACATCTGGTAAAGTATTACCAAATTCAACTAGCTTCACATAGAAGCTTGCTCATCACAAACAGCCACTAGTTGCCTATGAATTTGTGCTGCTGATTGTCCTTTTTAAAGAAACCATGCAGTCCACTTTCGAGCATATGCATGACAATCCGTTGAAATATCATACACTTGCTTATGGTTCTCTGCACCATACCTCATACAATGAGTTCATATTGTTACTGTTTTTGCTCTGGGACTGGGTGTAAACCATTTTATGACAGAAACTGTACTCACATCACCATCTGAAACAAACATCGCCACAATGTTCCACTGTTTACAAAATTAGAAGAGCAGCATAGCCCTTGACTTTTGCACTATTCACCATTTCACATATTTAAAAAAATTCAATATTTTAAAGATTTTTGTCAATATTCCAAAAATTGTTCATTTCCACTATTACCTCTTATGAGGGGACAGACAATTTACATGTATGCCTTCTCCAGGATTCGAACTCGGCCCCTTCGATACCCCAATCAGCTCCACTAACCACTCAACCATCTGGGCATCAGGGCTGAATACATAAAATGCATTAAACAGGTTTAGTCTTGCATTAGGGCCAGTGTTGATGCATTGTGTATTTTGCCCATTTATTTGTTTATGTTTCAATATTTTGTCCTTATAAATTTATAAGCATGACTGAGAAACAGAGCTACAGTGTTAATACAAACAAAAAGAAATTTAGGGCTCATAAACTTCATATGATCAAGACAAAGTTAGAAATAATTAGATGTTCTGAAAGTGCTGAATCTTTTGCTCTAATCAGCTGTTCATATGGCATAAAAAAGTCTATGTGTTCAGTTTTGAAAAACAAAAATTAAATTAAAAAGTGCCTTTAAAATTGTGTACTATATCTTCAGAGACACAACAAAGTGACGGATGAAATGGAAAGCTCTTTATCATCATGGATTGATAATCAACACCAAAATAGTGTCCTTCAGAGTTTTTCAATTATTCAAGCTAAGGCTTTTATTTTGCATGAAGACTGGAAAACTAGATTAAAAGAAGACTCTAACATGGTTTTTAAAAGCACGTAATGGCTAGTTCAACAAATTTAAAATGAGGTATTCTTTACATAATTTTAAATTTGGTGATGAATTGACTGATGCAGATAAAGATAATGCAAAAGAATTTATTTCCTCATCATCCAAAATTATTGTAAGTGGCGATTATTTTAGCCAAATATTCAGTGTAGATGAGATTGGTTTATTTTAGAATAAAATGCCTAATTATACCTTCTTATCGAATGAAAGATGAGTTGCCCTTGGACAAACTCAGAATATCCTCCTTGAACCAGGAACCTGGTCCTTGAACCAGGACACCTAAAATCCCCTCAGAATTTACACTTAGAAATTAATGTTGTCCATCTACCTCCTGTACTATCTGCCTTATACACTCCACAGATCAAGCAGTGATAGCTATGTTTAAACAATATTATTTGAGCATAATAATGAATCAGACCATCAATGCAACTGGAAGAGAAAGTGGGTCTACATTAAAAGATTTTGGAAGAGCTATAATATATAGAGATGCAACAAATAATACTGAAGACTCGTGGCTGAAATTAAAGAACAAACAATGAAAAGTTTCTTGAAACAATTACGCCCACAAATGATGAGTAATTTTATAAATTCTGAAGAAACTCCTGAAATTATCACAGATAAAATAGAATGAATGAATTAAACTCATTAGAGTTGATTGAATCTCATTTAGTACTTGATCAAATAAATATTTAATTTTAGCAACAAGAGCTAAATGAAATTCACAATGAAAGGGAGAAAGAATAACCTTATAAAATTACCAAGCCTTTTACAATAAAAAGTATGAATGAAGCCTTCAATGCATCTTGACAAATTAGTAGTGAGCTGATTAATTTCACTCAGTACCTTAGCCAAATGAATATAGTACTCTTCATTATCCAAGTGAGGATTACTCAGTTTGAGGATTATCCATGTGTGCCCATACTTTCACCTTCAAAGTATATGTAAAAGCATGTAAAAAATAAACATATGTAAGTTTGATTTTAAAGAAAGATTCTTTTTGATATAGAAATTGGAGTTTTTACTTCCTTATACAGGAAGTAAAGGAAGTATTGTAATCGCAAAAATTTCCGGGTATCATATTTCAACAAAAATACCCATTTTGACCGCTATCGAATGCAATTTAATGATGCTTTTGCATGATATCTGTTATGTAAGGACAGAATAGAGGACTCTTTCTCCCAAAACTGGTTGCAAAAAAGGTTTTAAAATGAATTCAAAAGAGATTTTTTCGTGACATGAATACGTACATACGTATCTCACATAACTCAAAAATGAGTAGCCTTAGAGTGCTGCAATTTTATATACAGGACTGCTATAGCATTTAGTTTTGCAACTCTCTTTTTGGTTGCAATTGGCGACACCAAAAGCATATAAATACATACAGTACAAAGTCCGTAATCCGGACTCATCGAGACTTCAGCAATTCCGGATTAAGGGTTTTGCCGGATTATAGATCATCAGTTTAAATCTCCTAAGATGGCATGCAGAAATTATACAATTAAAAATATGAAACCATAATTTATGAAATAAAGAGCAAATATGATCTAAGGTACAAAACTACAAAAAGCTTAATATTTATTTGTTTTATTTATTAAACATTTCTTTCAATGTAAGTTGTTTAAGTTGCTTCGTTTTTTGTGCTAAACACACATGCTTAAACATTAGACGCTCATGCGTAACATTAAACCGCATGCGTAAAGCATACAAAAAAAAAGTTTGTTGCTTTGAGGTCTGGATTGCAGATCATTCCGGATAATGGACATCCGGATTACAGACTTTGTACTGTATATACCCACTCTGTTGCTTGGCTTCGTGAGCTCAGTATTTTTTTTTAATTCTTATGTATTGTAAATTGTACATTTTTTGCTTCAAAAATTATTGAATTATGTTGTTCTTACATTTCAGTTAAGGCTTTTATGCTTTTAGTTAACCTGCATGCGATAAGTG